GACGCGTTTCAGAAAGGCGGGGCATAGAGGAGAAACAATAATGTACAGTATGTGGAAAATAATGTGTTTTTTGAACCTTAAACCACATAAACACATTTCATTACACCAAATACACAAAATAATGTTCTTTTTAGCAACATCATATGACCCCTTTAAGATTTGAAAATCGTCTAGTGCAGGGGTGTCAACTCAGTTCCTGGAGGGCCGGAGCCCTGCAGAGTTTAGATTCAACCCTAATTAAACTAATCATGTCCTTGCTGATTTGAAAACAACATGGTATGCGTATTGGAACAGGGTTGGAACAAAACTCTGCAGGGCTCCGGCGTTCCAGGAATTGAGTCTTGACACCCCTGGGGCCAGTTGCATTAACAAACCCCTTGTCCAAATACCCGCGCTTGCGGCCTTTGCACTTGACCGCTTATATGACGTATTTCCTGTATTTGGTCCAAGTGTTCAAGTGAGCATGAAGACCACAAGTGTGTGTAGAACTTTTCATTAACTGATGGGACATATAGAGCTTAATTTTTATTTTCAATACTTTGCATTTTAAAATCAACTTCTAAATGTCTGTTCAGTAGTCCCTATAACAGATGACACAATTTAATTTTGTGGTGCTTCTAATTAAGTGATAAAAAGCAGTTGCAAATGTTGTACAAAATAATTATCACCACTACTCATTTGCACCAATAAAACGTAAAAACACTGTTTTTCTACCAAATTATATGTAATATCTAATTATTATTATTATTTAACATATTGGAAAGGTTTCCGTGACCTCTCGCAAGATCTCGGCAAAAAGTCTCACGATTTATTTCCACAACATGATGCATGATGGGATACACTAAGTCTGGAATAGTGCTCCGGAGCGGTATTCGAGATAGTGTGGATTTAGTGTGCGTTAAGGGCACTGCACTTTGGCGTTTTTAAGACCTGGGACAGTCTTGCGCACTTACTTCCTGTTGCGCGCACGCGATCTCAAGTGGCCAAGACCTCGAGTGTGGGTATTTGGACAAGGGGACAGACACTAGACTGTTGCTGCATCCCAATGTGCCAACTTATTCTACGACCTTAAAGTATGTATTTTTTTGGTGAGGAAAAAGTACACACTTTTGAGTGTGTAGTAGAAGAGTAGGCAAACTTTGGGACATACTATCACGTCATACAATTGCGTCTTTAATGGACCGCTCTGTCGCATAATTACACGCATCCTATCACTGGGTGCTTCTCAATTCTTATTTGTGCATCCTCATTTCCTTTCCTCGTGTCTTAGCTCCACTCTTTCAGGATGCGAGGGAAGGATGCAAGGAAAAGACGCGAGGACGGAGGAGTTGAATCAAGTTAAATGATATATCCTCGCTCCCTTTAGCGCAGAGGTGTCAAACTCAATTCCTGGAGGGCCGAAGCCCTGCAGAGTTTAACTTCAACCCTAATTAAACACACCTGATCCAACTAATCAAGTCCTTCAGGCTTATTTGAAAACTACATGGTGAATGTGAAGGGGGAGGAGAATTTATACGTGCGTCAGGTTTTTCGATGAAAAACATCTCCGCAAAGGATACACCTGTGTATCCTCACTCATGACTCCTCAGGAAGCCTCCTCGCTGTGCAAATAGAGAATTGAGATGACCTTCAAGATGGCTGAGCTCGATCGGTTTCCGGGTCGTAGGATGGAGGACGGAGGTGCGAGGAAACGAGGAGGGATATTGAGAAGCACCCACTGTAAACTGGCCTGTCAATCATCTTGTCACAGTTAACATCCTCCACATTTCATTTCATTTAACTTCATACAGTACTGGAGTGAAAGGAAGTAGCCAGTGCCGATCCTAGACTTCTGGGGGCCCTACGCAAAACTGTGTCCTTATGGTCCTAGAAATGCAGTCCTAGAACTGCGGTCCTGAAACTGCAGCCTCATGTAGACTATTGCAGGAATATAGTATTGGGGGGTCAGGCTTTGAGGCTTCAGCCCCGCCTAGCCTTGCCTGTAAAAATGTTTTGCCTGAAAGTAAGTTTTTACAAATAACGACTTATTTGTAACTATTCTATAAAAGCAATATCACAGTCGCAATTGTTCTGATATGCTGCTAATATAGAGCTAGTGATATATGTGATTCAGTTACATACAGTCATGGCCAAAAGTTTTGGCAGTGACATAAATTTTGTGTTTTGCCAAGTTTGCTGCTTCAGTATTTGTAGATTATTTTTCCACGTTTCTATGGTATACTGAAAAACATCACCAAATTGCTCATGGATCGTTGGAAGAAGTCGCTCTTGCAGGATGTTTTGATACCATTCTTTATTCATGGCAGTGTTTTTGGGCAAAATTATGAGAGCACCCACTCCCTTGGTTGAAAAGCAACCCCACACATGGATGGTCTCCTTGAAGTTCTTGTTGATCCAGTAAATGGTTCTTTCAAATGCAATATTCTTTGTAGCAATTTCCTTGCATGTGAGACCAGTTTGATGCAAAGCGATAATGGCTGTACATGTCTATACACTACTGTGTATAGACCACCAGGGCCATATACAGATTTCCTAAAAGAATTTGCAGATTTACTGACTAGTACTCATTTACACTTTCACATGTGCTGCTGATATGATTAGTCAATTAATGTTAGCTGGTCATTTTGTGTCAGGATCAAAAAACAGTGAATTTTTTTTTTTGTGAAAAGAATTTTTTTGGGCCAATGAAGCTTTTAGCAATTCTTTCAAATGCATCTGATCACTCTACACAATAATCTAGAAACAATGTAAATAAACACCACAACAGCTTAAGCAGCAAACTTTTCAAAACACAAAATTCGTCACTGCCAAAACTTTTGGCCACGACTGTATATCCCTAAGCCAAAGTGACACCAAGACTCCTCAGACAGTTGATCTTAGGCCTGCTTTCATAAAAGCCCTCAGAGAAATCAAAGTATGAAAGCACAAAAAGAAAACTACTGAGGGCAGAAATGACAACACAAAAGGGGGCACACTGTCCCTAAACAGAGAAGCCTATCTTACCACAACCAATCTTGAAAGGAAGTCCCATGTTGTATATTCTTCCCATTGCTACAATGCTTACAATAATGACTTGATATTCACTTAATAATCGATACTGACTGTGCGATTTTATCATAATTTAAGATTTACTATACTTATCCTTTAATAATGTCTGTGACTCAAGCTTTATTAAATTACCCCCTATTTTATTTAAAGTGAAATAATAAAACATTTATTCATATGTAGGAAGTTTGAAACGTAGGGAAACATTTTTATCTCTCTCATCAAAGAAGTCAATGTTACAACCCAGTTTTACATACTGGAATATTTATTTTACAAAAATATGAAAACGTCAGGCAGATACAGATATAAAACAAATGCAAAAGCAGCTTTTTTCTCAATGGCAGCAAATTGGAATCTTTAGGTGGGCCAGTTTAATAAAACTCATACAGGAGCCAGAGCCTAAGACAAACATTAGCAGCAAAACCAGTCCAGAAAAAAACAAAGATACAAAATACTACTATATCTCATTCACCCTTATTCAAAGAAAAAAAAAAACTAATATGGTCCTATAAGGGCACAATGACCAACACTCTCATTTCAATTTGGTTCTTGCAAAAACGTACAATTATTTGCACTTTACTGACAATAGTAGTTCAATGAAATGAATTTATCAACAAAGCATCTGCTTTAAATGCAAGAATGTGCTGTTTTAACAGAATAGCATAGCTTAAAAGAGATTGATTTTAAACTGAATTTCAGTATTTCATCATAAAAGAGATACATTCTACTTACTGTATGATTAACCATCATTACTGGACTAGTCATGACTAGATGAACCAGACTTTTTTTAAAAACATAAGTAATGTCAAATGCACGTAATCTACAGTACATCCACATGCAGTTTCATTACATAAAAAAAAAATATGTATGCTAAAAGCAGAAGAATGCAAAATGATTTAGCATTAGAATTACATACAGTTGAACAAGACTTTTAATCAAAGCATTGATTTAAAAAAAAAAAGTTAATATTTTCATGTACATATTTTTTCCATCCCCATAAAAATGCAACATAAAAATAAAAAATGTACACCACAGATTGGGTGCTTACAAAAAACATCACTCTCCAGCCGATGTGTGAAAAAAGAAAACCCTGACGAACAATTCCCACTTCTAATCAATGTGCACAGTTAAAAGATGGCTAAAATAATTACTTTTTTAGAAATGATTACAGAAACCCATAAAACAAAGAACAACATATTATGATTATAAAATAGAAATACATCATAAAACATCAGAAATCATTCCACTCAGTTTACATGTTTTAAAGAATAAGTAGAATGAACCATATACATTTGATGCAGTCTAAAGTGATATAACATATAATAATTAATTATGCCATTACATTAAAGAGTCGTATTATAATGGTAATAATTAATTTTCATTACACAGTGTCTGTGCAGCAGCTAAACAGAATGAAAACATTGTGCACATTGATTAGAATATGTATTCATGGTGGATGATTGAGCATATTACATTATTGTGATTTAATGGATAGAATTTTCCAGCTTTCTGATTTTTTAATTAAAAGTTTTCTCTGTCTGGAGTACATTATAAATTATTTAAGTCATAATGGGAAAACATAGCAAAAATTAAATCATGTAAAAATGGCAAAATATAATACAAATAAAATACAATAAAAAGAATCCAAAATAAAATAATAGAATATTTAAAAATACACTTTTATTGTTACTGTTCTCTTGGGAACAAATTTGCCTAACTGATTTCAAGTCTGCAGTGACATGAGGTGTAGCACCATTAGTTCATCACTGTTCAATCACAAATTTGAGTAGTACATTGACAGAATGCCTTCTGAAGCATTACAGTCAACTAAAAAAGACGAAATGTCAATAAATAAGAACAAAATGTAGGGAGCAAAACATGTACCAATGGCCAGCAATTTCAAGCAGTTTCAAAAGTAATTTGCTTAAAATAATATCCGATTACACAAATCAAAGAGATTTTTAAAATGACTAACTAAAGCAAATCATTTCAAACAACAAAACAAAGTTTAAAAAAATACACAATAGAAAAGCACTGAAATGGGCAAATATCAAAGGTGCTTTTTTTTATCCAGCATGACATGCCAAAATTCAAATTCCATCACTAACAAGAATGGGTCGTACATTCGAAAGCCTAACATTTAATACATTTATCATGTTAAAACACTATGAATTACTCACCAGACTAACCAAGCTCAAAAAACGGATTAGTTCTATTCAAGACCCACAAACATAAAGGCATACAGTTACATTGGTTTACATTGTTCGATATCTAATGCCCTCTGAAATCACAGACTTATTTGGAGGAGGGTAAAGCCATCGTAACGTCTGTTCAGTGGAGATTTTCAAACTGGTGGCATTACACACCAGTTATAAACTGAAATCATTTGATAGATTGATGCATTGAGACACCGAATAGCTGATCACAGAATATTTGTGAAATCAAAAATGTTAACAGTACAAAAGTTGCCGCACCACAGTGATTTAATACATAAAATATAATATTAATATTATTAATAATAATAATATTATATAAATAGAAAATGATAAATGCTGAAATGACCAACTGTATGGTACATTATCTGTTCATAATCGATAAGGATTACTGTGAGATTAATGGTTAAGCTAAAACCTGAACCCTTGTTGAATCTAAAACTAGTCATAAATAGACCTGAGCATGGAATGTGACAGGATGAGTTTACTGATCCTGAGAGAATGAATCAAGCAGCAGTTCTTAAAGGGATGGTTCACCCGAAAATTAACATTCTCTTATCATTTACTCACCCTCATGTCCTTCCAAACCTGTATGTCTTTATTTCTACTGCGGAACGCAGATATATTTTGAGAAATGTCTCCGTGTTTGTTTTTGTCCATGCAATGCAAGTCAGTGGTAACCAAAACTGGTTGGCTGCCAACATTCTTCAAAATATCTACTTTTGTGTTCTACAAGAAGGTTTGGAGCAACATGAAGGTAAGTAAATGATGACAGAATCTTCATTTTTGGGTGAACTATCCCTTTAACTGTGTGGATGTTTTGTAGTACTACAGTGCCTGCCTATAGCTCCTCATCCCTCATCAAACAGCTTCACCTGGATTCACCAGGCTAAATGCTAAATTCTGAAGCAGCGTCCTTCCTTCCCTCCACTTGTTCGTCACACTCTAAACACGAAGGCACTGAAAACAAACCATCTAGCGGCCATTTGTGATGATCTATCCAGACAATGAAGTGAAATTGGAAATGGAAGGATGCAGCATTGCGTGTATAAGAAAGGACTTGGACTTAATCATTGAATTATGGGATAATACATTACTCTCCGAGCCTCGAACGAATCTCGCAACCTGACCTTGAACTTAACACTCGCCAACTCTATAGCTACTTTTACTAGACTTTCACAACTATGCGCTAACACTTTCATACATGTATTTCTGTTATCCATCTTGGTTTGTTGCTGCTCTAAATCAACCCTAAAGTCAACATGCAACCCAGCGAGGGTCATCCTTCGACTACGTCTCGGCACTAAATCCCTGACAACAGGGTGCAGACTGTTTGGTATACGTATCAACGGTTTTTCTACAACAACCTACACCTTCAAGTTCACTAAAATTAAGACATAACATGCCAAAAAAAAAAAAAGAAATGTCAACAATCAACACTGACATAAAATAAGTGAACAGGATGTGGAACTTATATTGAAGAAAAAAAAATACATGTAGAATTACATTATAATCAAGGAAATATGGTGTTAAATAGTGCTTCAAAGCATTTGGTAGCTCTGTCCTGGACAATTCAAAAGATACCAGGATGCTTGTGATGAAATGTTTGCCATATTAAATAGAGCACTAAATGATTCTGCGTGTCTGTGGTTATGCAGTCATCAAAAAAAAAAAGTCACATTGTCCAGCTTGAACTGCAGAGTAACAACATGGCAGAAAACAACACAAAAATCCTCCTGGCCTGAGACTGAGAGGACTTAGAAAGTGTGAGCTCAAAAAAAAAAAAGTGAATTAGCGATTATATCTTAAGGTGTAAAATAAGAGGTTCCGTTCAACGGGCCTGAATTTGCAGTAGTTGTGGTTCTACATTTGCTTAATCCAAGTGAGACTGACACGGTCCCACGTAAGACCTTACTGTTTCATGGCAGTGATGTGCAGCTAAGACTCAGTTTAGACCTGTACATTGCATTTATGCAAACAGACGGACAATCCCTGGCAGTGTCATGATGCGGCTTCAGATTCGAGAAGCACATTTTCCTCTGAGCAGACAAACTTCCTTTCAGGAAGGTGGGTGGGAGACGAGAGCAGCTTCTGATATTGTCAAACATGTAATTCCAGGCAGCATGTTGTTGATCCGTATTAGCTGGCAGTAGTGAGGGCAAAGACAAAACACGATCGACCAATAGTTGCGGTGATATTTTTAAAAGCAGCATGTGATGTTATGCTCTGGAAGACTAGTTCACAGGGGGACTGGATGGGGGTCTTTGTCTACAGTGGGAAACAATGTCTTTCAAGCAGCTCTCTCCTCCAGGGAGGGCTTTTTGCTGGGGAAGGGTTGGGCGTACAGACTCTTGCTGGTGCTGTCGAGACTCTGGAAGTATGGGTGAGACAGTGCATCATAAGCCGATATCCTTCTGGAGGGGTTAAATGACAGAAACCGCTGTGTAGGGAGAAAATGAGAAGAAGAGAAAACAATAAGTAAACAGTCTATGGCACTTTCATGTATGTATATAAAAACGTCATTCTACAAACAGGTGCTATTTGTATCCCTCATATGCATTCTAAAATGACTGAGGTCTAGAGGTTACACATCACCCTTTTTGGAAAAAAAAAAGTTGTGATAATGACATCATCCTTTAATGAAATTAAAGTCTGCTTACTTGTTTTATTTTGTTATGATTGTAAGTACAAGCAAGTGATTGGTGATAAAAAAAAAAAAGGATAATTGTAAAAAGCATGAAATTCTAAATTGAAAGAAGCTACCTTGTAATTTCACAAAACATACCAAAAGATTTTAATATATAATATGATATAATATAAATATTTATACTGTATAAGTCAATAATGTTACCATTTTAAGGCATAACTGCATCCCAGAAAATGATATAAATTTACTGAAATGTATTCAAATGTAAGCTTAATATAATACAATATACTTTATTAATTAAAACATTATTTGCGTGATAAAATGGAAAAGGTTTTGGTTTCATAGAATGGCATTCTACAATTAGTATCAAGACATTTAAAATATCCTCAGTGTTGATATCTGCTACTTACAAGTAAAAGTGATTTGCCCAGCTCATCCATGTCAGGCACCAGGTCCTCTATGGGCTGGGGAGGGCGAGGGGAAAAGGCACTTTGTGGCAAGCCCACCTCCTGTGGCCAGTCCTCTGGAGAAGGGACCCCCACCACACTGGAATATTACAATCAAAACATTCAGTTGCTGCAATTTTAATTACGTCTCAATACAGTCTTATTGAACACAATTCTAACAGGTTATTGTTGGAGTTACTAGACCATTATGGTACTTACTCAAAAATCTTGCCTAACTGGTCAACATCAGAGTTCCCACGGAAAAGAGGGCTGAAGATAGAGAATGGTGAAAGATTGCAGTTAATTGCATGATTCATTTTACAGCAATAACTAGACCTAAAAGGACCTCGTTGTATTCATAATAAACTTAAACTATAAACTAAAACAAATGATTTAAAATAAATAAATAAAACTAAATTAATCTGAAATAATACTGAAATTAATCAATTAAAACTAAAATAATCTTGAATAAGTAAAAAAATGAAATGAATAAATAAATGAAAATAAAATAACTAAAAGCTAAAATAATCTTGAGTAAATAAAACCGAAATGAAATAAAAATAAATAAAACAGAACTAAAATAATATTGAATAAATAAAACTTAAATAAATTAATAAACTAAATAAAACTAAAATTAATAACCCTTAATACATAAGTGAAATGAATGAATAAACTAAAATAAATAAAAAAAATCTTAAAACTCAAATAATAAATAAATAGCTTAAAACGCCATGTGCAAGACTGCAGGGACAGTCATAAAACACAGGTTATGCGTTTAGATGTACACTCTGCAATAATCACAAACAGTCACCTGCCTGTCTTCTAGAAGTGAATGCAAAGAGAAAGAAAATCCTTATAGGTTTCACTGTACAAACAAGGCCCTAAAGCCACATAACAGACATTGGCCTACTGTATATGTGCTGTTTCCTGGCCAGCCTGAGGCTGAGAAGATCTGAGGGCTTTTTCAGCACATACTAGAGTCCACCCGCCTGGACCGCTGCTGGTGCCTGTGGCTTCAGGCCAGTCAGGACACCCGTGGGTGGGCATGCTTCCCTTGCCATGCACACAAATTCCAGGAGCCACAAGCACAGGGCTCAGTCTCCAAAACACACCGCACGGAGTAAAAGAGAGCGAATAAAATCTATTTATCCCTGCCGTCTGCTTTCCCTCTCCACATACCCCTATGTGAGAGAGCAAAAATGAACCGTGTGAAAGAACAGAAGCACGGAAATAAAGATAAAATGATTTATGAGCTAAAATAAGCTCACTATCAAAGCGTTAGGTCTGACTAAGCTGCAAAAACAGTACTTGTAATTACCCCCGCCACCACCAGATGTCGCCCAACAGCAAGACAAGCAGCAACCGCTCTTTCTTTACAACCACATGGAGCGTCAACTTGATCTCAACTGTAATCAGACGAAGGGCCAGAAGTGAGCACGTGCACGTTTCCTTACGCCTCCGTGATGTTCAAACACCCTCAAGACTAATTAAAAGATGAGTGAGAAGCAGAAAGACAAAAGTCTGCATATTTTTCAGAACGATTGTGACTTGCGCTATTCACTAACTTACAGCTACTATACAAAGGCGTCTTTGTATACGGTTAAGATGCTGAACATTCTTTGCAGGTGAGACGGACGCGTCGGATGCTCCCGATCCCTTTCACTTTGAACCCGCTTGTTAAAAAGAAAATTGCCATCATCGCGCCTTTCACCTACCGCATCAACTGCTGAAGCCCTCAAAGGCAAAGTCAGTCCCGAGCAGTTAAATCAGACAAAAGCCGTTCTATTTTCTAAAAGCGAGCGAGAGGAAAGATCTCACCTAAAGCAGTGTTATGCCAAAACAAGTAAATTTATGGATGAAAATCTCTAAAGCACATTCTGCCTTCCCTTGGGCTACTTGCTGAATGAATTAGTGGCTTTTTGCACAAGGCAGACATTATGCCGGGGCAGAGGCTTCCTGAGTGAGTGGGCACAAGCAGGCACACACCTGGCCAGTACACGCAGTTGAGTCACGCTCCAAGTGCCGGTGTCTCTATCCACATTCCACCCGCGCCACCTCTGGAATGCATCGGTGTATCTGAATCGGTGAACACTGGCTCGCCGGAAAAGGTGTGAGTCAGTGACGAATAATAGTGTCCACGATAGAGGAAAGGAAAACTTTAGTTTAACACACGTGCAATGTCCTTGGAAAAGCGTTTTTTTGTGTTCATGCTGGCTTCATATGGTTCAGAAAAAAAAACTTTCCATTTTTAAGAGAAATATAAATGAAATGTAACCACCAAATCATGATTACGTTTTAATAAGTTATGGCACCACCATATGTAGCAACCTGAACTAAGAGACTCAATGGACTTATTATTATTAATAATAATAATAATAATAATAATAGAAGATTATGCCTAACTACTTAACACAAACTACTTACAATACTTAATAAGAATTTCAGTTTTGACTTTATGGCTCATAAATATATCATAAATATATACAGATTTGAGGTATTTGATTATGGCCAAAAAACATATTTACGATTATTTTGGTCAATATTGAGATTATCTACAATTACTCACTGACTGTAAACATTGTGCATTCATTAAAAGTTTTTTGTCTTACAT